GGAGGGGAGATATGGGGGAGAGGAGATGTGGGGGAGGGGAGATGAGGGGGAGGGGAGATGGGGAGGAGGGAAGATGTGAGAGAGGGGAGATGGGGGAGGGGAGATGGGTGAGAGGAGATGTGGGAGAAGGGAGGTGTTGGGGAGGGGAGATGCGGGAGAAGGGAGATGTTGGAGAGGAGAGATGTGTATTTGAAATTTTCCTTTGTTTAAATGTGTCTGAAGTATATTTAGAAATATCTCTATTCAGAAAATGTGCTGTCCCATAAATAGTTAATATTTAATTTCCTGGATGTTATGGAAAATTATACATTAATCTTTTCTCTATTGAAGGGGTGAAGCTGAATAAACCTATGAGTCAGTGACAGCAAACTCGTCCAAGTTACCGTGGTTACTTGTGTCCCAAGGAAAGGTGATGAGAAGATCAAAGGACGTGCTGTAGAGTAACCATGGCAACAACCTTGAGACTTCATAACTCTTTCATTCTGGAAATTTGTTTAAGGATTTTCTTAGCAATATTCTTTTAGTAAGTAACTTAAAGTACCAGTCAATGACTTTGATGTGATCAGTCTGTTATTGGGTGGCAACCGTGTTAGTTTATGATATTTTCAAATGTTATTTGTTACAGAAGGAAGCATACATAAAATAATAGACCACACTGTCTTTTTCCCAAACCATTTTACATTTTACATGTTCTTGTTAAATTTGCATAAATATATATTCTAAAGTATTTATACTACATTGTACATGTATATTTATACTACATTGTACTTGTATATTTATACTACATTGTACTTGTATATTTATACTACATTGTACATGTATATTTATACTACATTGTCCATGTATATTTATACTATATTCTACGTGTATATTTATACTACATTGTACATGTACATTTATACTACATTGTACATGTATATTTATACTACATTGTACTTGTATATTTATACTACATTGTACATGAATATATCTACTATATTGTCCATGTATATTTATACTACATTGTACGTGTATATTTATACTACATTGTACATGTACATTTATACTACATTGTACATGTATATTTATACTACATTGTACATGTTCATTTATACTACATTGTACATGTATATTCATACTACATGGTACTTGTATATTTATACTACATTGTACTTGTATATTTATACTACATTCGCATGTATATTTATACTACACTGTACATGTATATTTATACTACATTGTACTTGTATATTTATACTACATTGCACATGTATATTTATACTCCATTGTACTTGTATATTTATACTACATTGTACTTGTATATTTATTGTTATGTTTACAATTTCAGTATCATTTTTACTGATTTTTTTTCTGGTAAAATGGAGAAGAAGAAGAATAAGTCTTTCATATATAGATTTGACGTGAGGGTGTAGAACCTAGACTAAGGACAAGTGGTTTGGGCGCCTTACTATTCTCTGTAATGAGTACAGTATTGACGTGAGGGTGTTGAACCTAGACTTGTGACAAGCGGTTTGGGCACCTTACTATTCTCTGTAATGAGTAGTACAGTATTGACGTGAGGGGGTAGAACCTAGACTTGTGACAAGTGCTTTGGGCGCCTTACTATTCTCTGTAATTAGTACAGTATTGACGTGAGGGTGTAGAACCAAGACTAGTGACAAGTGGTTTGGGTGCCTTACTATTCTCTGTAATTAGTACAGTATTGACGTGAGGGTGTTGATCCTAGACTTGTGACAAGCGGTTTGGGCGCCTTACTATTCTCTGAAATGAGTACAGTATTGACGTGAGGGTGTTGAACCTCGACTTGTGACAAGCGGTTTGGGCCCCTTACTATTCTCTGTAATGAGTAGTGCAGTATTGACGTGAGGGTGTAGACCCTAGACTAGTGACAAGTGGTTTGGGTGCCTTACTATTCTCTGTAATTCGTACAGTATTGACGTTAGGGTGTAGACCCTAGACTTGTGACAAGTGGTTTGGGCGCCTTACTATGCTCTGTAATGAGTACAGTATTGACGAGAGGGTGGAGAACCTAGACTTGTGACAAGTGATTTGGGCACCTTACTATTCTCTGTCATGAGTAGTACAGTATTGACGTGAGGGTGGTGAACCTAGACTTGTGACAAGCGGTTCGGGCACCTTACTATTCTCTGTAATGAGTAGTACAGTATTGATGTGAGGGGGTAGAACCTAGACTTGTGACAAGTGGATTGGGCGCCTTACTATTCTCTGTAATTAGTACAGTATTGACGTGAAGGTGTAGAACCTAGACTTGTGACAAGAGGTTTGGGAGCCTTACTATTCTCTGTAATGAGTAAAGTATTGACGTGAGGGTGTTGAACCTAGGCTTGTGACAAGCGGTTTGGGCACGTTACTATTCTCTGTAATGAGTAGTGCAGTATTGACGTGAGGGTGTAGAGTATATTTATACTACATTGTACTTGTATATTTATTGTTATGTTTACAATTTCAGTATCATTTTTACTGATTTTTTTTCTGGTAAAATGGAGAAGAAGAAGAATAAGTCTTTCATATATAGATTTGACGTGAGGGTGTAAAACCTAGACTAAGGACAAGTGGTTTGGACGCCTTACTATTCTCTGTAATGAGTAGTACAGTATTGACGTGAGGGTGTTGAACCTAGACTTGGGACAAGCGGTTTGGGCACCTTACTATTCTCTGTCATGAGTAGTACAGTATTGATGTGAGGGAGTAGAACCTAGACTTGTGACAAGTGCTTTGGGCGCCTTACTATTCTCTGAAATGAGTACAGTATTGACGTGAGGGTGTAGAACCTAGAGTTATGACAAGTGGTTTGGGCGCCTTACTATTCTCTGTAATGAGTACAGTATTCAACAAGTTCATGTTTTAAACTGTTTTAATGTCATCAGCTGATAAATCCAAACTGGGAAACTTGGAAGGTTAAAAGGAGTGTGTTGTGCTCAGTGAATCTAAGAAATAATGTGTGCGATTCAGTTGTCCAGTGGACCTTTGCTGATATAGAATGTATTCATTCCATGTTTGAATTAATTTAGTGCTGTATCATTTTCTACTTTACACAAAGTGATATCACAAAATTATTCTGTAACTAATAAATTTATGATTTACTACACATCATTTGAGGGAGAAAACTGAGCCTTAATATTTTGTTTAATTTGATTGTGCTTTTGTGCAGTATTTCTGATGATGCTGTTCCATTCCGGAGAAAGATACAACCGGAAGAGTACTGGCTGTACCAGTTCCCACGCACACCTAGTTACTACCCCAGTAGATACTTATGGGTAAGGACTAGCTGTAACTTACTTTTAGTTTGTTTGTGTTTTACGACCTATTAACAGCTATGGTCATTTAAGGGCTTGCCAGGTGGAGGAAAGTCGTAGTTCCCAGAGAAAAACCACCGACATACGGCCAGTACCTGGCGACTGCCCCACATAGGCCTCGAACCTGCGACCCGTGGTGGAGGGCTAGTGGTAGCAGAATGTCAGACGCCTTAACCACTTGGCCTCTGCGGCCTCTTTGTAACTTACTAACAGGTGTATCTCTTGTGTTAAGAGCAAACTGTACACTTACAAATTTACTATCTTTTGTGTATTATGAACGGTCTACTGACAATAATTATCTCCCTTGTTTACAGCAAACCTTTTACTTCAAATAATTATCTGTTGTGTTTACAGCTAACTGTATACTATTAGTTATCTTTGTATGTACGGCAAACCTTTTACTTAAAATTATTATCTCTTGTGTTTACAGCGACCTGATAATTAATTATCCCTTGTGTTTACAGCGAACTGACAATTAATTATCCCTTGTGTTTACAGTGAACTGACAATTAATTATCCCTCGTGTTTACAGCGAACTGACAATTAATTATCCCTTGTGTTTACAGTGAACTGACAATTAATTATCCCTTGTATTTACAGTGAACTGACAATTAATTATCCCTTGTATTTACAGAGAACAGTTTATGGAGCCCCGATCATGGTGATAGGAGCGATGTACCTGTGGAAAAAGGATATTACAGATCTAAAGCAGGCTGTCCTAGGTAAATACGGAGCTAGTGGTTAACAGTTTTAGTAAACTGGTATCCAATAAGTATAGGCCATTCAAATATTTCCACAAGTAGACATACCAGTCAAGGTGTAGTAGGATGAAATAAGTGAAAAGAATATGTGTGTGTGCGAGGGCTTGAACCCACGATCCCAGTCTTTCTAGTCAGATGCGTTGAAGGGGAACTCCCTCTAGCTGAAGTCAGTAATGCGACTTCGACACTATGTTGAGGATGAAATAATGACTACTGTAGCGTGAAATCACATTGAAATATATTGATTTTATCACACACTTGTGATACTTATTTTGGTTTGATATGGACTAAAAATGCATGTATCAGTATTTATCCTGCAATAAGCCATCGCATAATTCCTGACTCAAATAAGGAGGCTTGACTTATTACATGACAATGAAATAACATTTGTTGGCACTTCAGGTAATGGTGGGCTTATTACCAGGCATGGGCTTATTATCAGGCATGGGGTAATATCAGATAAATACGGAGTAAGATTAAATCTGTTGGTACGTAATGATTGTTTTTATGTTACAGGTGTAGTGTTGTCTGTCTCCCTGACTGGGTCTGTTACTAACTGTTTTATGTTACAGGTGTAGTGTTGTCTGTCTCCCTGACTAGGTCTGTTACTAACTGTTTTTATGTTACAGGGGTAGTGTTGTTTGTCTCCCTGACTGGGTCTGTTACTAACCGTTTTTATGTTACAGGTGTAGTGTTGTCTGTCTCCCTGACTGGGTCTGTTACTAACTGTTTTTATGTTACAGGTGTAGTGTTGTCTGTTTTCCTGACTGGGTCTGTAACTAACTGTATCAAGCTAGGTGTCGGCAGGTTAGTACTAAAGCTTCAACACTCTTTTATTATCAACTTTTATATCAAATTTAAACAATGGAGAGGCTGGAGGCTGAGTGAAGTATAATTATCTGTGGATTAATGACTCATTATATTAACAATAATAATACTTCATAATTGTGTCCTTTTGATAACCATGCTATAATCTAAAATTGATAAAACAGGAATGAAGATTTCATGGAATTCTAAAATTGTCTTGTATATACCTCCACAGCACAGCCAAGCATTACAACTTTGTAGCCAAATTATTTTTAATTACATTTGCTCTATCAGTATTTGTTAGGTAAATTATATTAACATAATTAACCCCTCAGAATGAAGGTTAATTATATTCTACTGATATTGTGCCCTACATGTTGAATATGGCTTTGTCTGGTTGGCATTCCTATTGTCTATGACAAATCATCAATTAATCATTCAGTAATTAAAACATAATTAATGTATCTGGATGTATTATGATCTTATGTCTGCTAATAGGTAATGCCACAATACTAATGTACTTCTTATATATTATTATAATAAAAATATTTTATTTATAATAATTATATGTACTTGCTTTGATTTACAGGCCCCGGCCAGACTTCATAGCACGCTGTTTTCCCGATGGGGCTTTTAACGATGAGTTCCGCTGTACAGGAAATGAGCTTGATGTGATACAGGGGTATAAAAGTTTCCCTAGTGGCCATTCTTCATGTGAGTATCCAATCAGACGGGTTGTTAATGTCTTACTCTACCAAGATGTTGAATGTATAGTTTTATCTCTGGCTGCAGACTAGACAGGTTAATACTAGTATTTAATGGAGCAAATTGATTTAATTTTACATAAAGGAATCACTGGCCTTTGACAGCAGTTTTGTCTTTGGATTTTGCAAAACACCTGCTGCTTTCAACCCCAGTTCTCAAACAACTGTGTATTACAGGCAATAGAATCAATTACACAAATATGTAAATCATGTTTTAATCTCTATATCAGAGCTGTTTGAAAGAGATCTTGATGCAAATGTTTTGCATGAATATAATTTCTTGATTTATTGTTTAGAGTAGTGCTTGGAGTCTATTAATGAGTACTGTTTAGGGTAGTGCTTGGAGTCTATTAATTAGTACTGTTTAGAGTAGAGCTTGGAGTCTATTAATGAGTACTGTTTAGAGTAGTGCTTGGAGTCTATTAATGAGTACTGTTTAG